GTGCACTAAGTATTATGGCTAGGTCGCGTTAGCCGCCGCCCGATCTCAAGGGTACAGCCATATCAATCCATCCAATCCATCCATCCAGCCCACGGAGGAAGGAAAGGTAAGGAGAGGGCATGCCCAGCCGGCGCAGGGCGTAAAAAATGTGGTGGAAATTACGTCACAGCGGCCAGATTCACTAGGCACAATGGCGGCGTTTTGTTATTATTGATGTAGTGCGGTGCGGCACCGTTCAGGTGGTCCAGCAGTGGTGTGCACGTTTTCATGGGCTTCGCACCTAACCGTGGCATACTGCATGCAGGTGTTCGACAGCATGCATTCTTTGTGCCGCATTGTTAGCTACGCGACTTTCCTCCGGTGGTGGTTGTAACCAGATGTCTGAACTAGAAACCACGGAACGAGCGCGCGTATACGTACTCCGAATTTGCAGCGTCCGTCAAAATTATGCTGAAAAGCAATCATAGAAGATAACGACTGTGCTCAAGAATTCTTTCAATGAATGCCTTGCAGGTTAGTGACAGTGATGCGGTGTTGCTTCTTATGACAACGGACGATGCACTTGCGATCCACATGCCCTTATTAAGACGTAATCTAATCTTGCTTTTCATGTTCTTGTACAGTTACGGCATACTTCTGCGCATTAAAGTTCCTGTTCTGCTTCGCTTAAGATGCTCCCTCTTCGCAATATTGTCTCGCTCTCCGCAATATTGTCTGTATTGTAGCAAAACTCGTTAAAATGTCTACACGCACCTGCACAAGGTAACTAGGTGCACCTCACTAGATGCGCGTGCTTGTGCATTCACAAGCTGACAAAGCCGTTCGAACGATGTTGACCAAGTGATGCTCACCTTTTCTCGCGTGTTCCTTCGGCTAACTTTCCCACCTTTCACCCTAACGCGATCCTGGTCTCTGTTCTCCGTAGCTACTAGAGCGCGTGAATCACACTGAAGACGTGTTCCCTGGCCACGCACTTTCGGGTGCTCTTCGCTGCTTTCGTCCTAATGAAATCATGGCCTTTGGGATACCAGTAGGAACCAGTGCGCGTCGGACAAAAGAGGGGCAAAAACAAAGAGGCCGGCGCAAACTCAACGGGCTGCCACGCACACAAGCTCCATCGACGCCGACTTTAATGGCATAATTATACGGACCTCCGGGTTTATTGCAGGGAAGACATTTTTCTTTTTTTTATCGTTGTGTCTAGCCCACAGCCTGACCGAAAATTTCATAAAACCTAAAGAGAAGCGCAAAAGGGGAAGAAAGTGATCTGAAAGAAGCTGTACAAATTTCGGTGCCTGGTTCGTCGCGCGGCAATGTTCGAAATAATCTTTATTTTCACAAAGAACACATCAAATAAAAAAAAGCTGAACGTGCAACTTGCCGTGTTTATCGTTAACGCCGGCAGTGCAAGAGTACAACAGCCATACGCAGAAATTTCGTCAACCATATCGCAACAAGACAGCGTGTTGAAATCCGTTCCGTTGGTTTCGAATAGCACCGACGCACGCGGCGCGCAGACCATGTGTTTTTTGAGACAGAGAGGGAGTCGCACCTTCTGCTTAGCATTCACATGTAAACAAGAGAGGAGAATTTTCCTAGTCAATATGGCCGACTTCTGGCTTCACAACGAGTGACGTCAAGGCCTCTCCTTACCTTTCCTTGATCCAGCCGCACAGTGCGGTCCTCAAAGGGCAGTTTGTCTCACTCTATTAGCGCAAGAGTAAATGCTTCTGCGTTTGCCTAGCACTGTTTACAGAAGCATTTGGGCTAGCTCCGCTGTATATGTACCGCATTAAGATAAGGTCGAGCACTTGGCGAGAGTCCTGTGTATCGTCGTGGCAGCCTCTCTTCGCCAAGATCTTGTTGGTGTAGGTGCCGCTTTTTAGCTTAAGGCCATCGTAAAGTGCACTTAGCATTGTCCCAACCATGAGGAATAATAAATATTGTGTGAATTTAGCGTTTTAACGACTTAGGGGTCAACAAAGTTTTGCACTGTTGTTAGGTGTCTACTTGAAAGGAAATTGTGGCGTTCGTGCTTATCACGGTTATGCGACAAGCTTTAACTGTGCTTGAGATACCCTTTTATTATACGGTCCTAGTCCCACAATACTGCTGTATAGTAAATTCTGACACTTCAGTACTTCAATTGAATGGCACAGAGCTGATTAAACTTGAATTGCTGTGCGCAATTTCAACATAGGACGAAATTTATACAGACACACCCATGTTCTTATCAAAGGTGAACATTTGGCAAAAGTCTGCTTGGTTGGGATTGGAATGACGCATTTAGAAAACTCCAACCGGAAATAGTATTCAGAAAACGGACGTTTCAAAGCCGGACCAAGCATTGACTACAGTGCCGTCATACAATTTTGGATTTGAATTTTCTAATTGCCTCTTCAGTGTTTCTAAATTCAGGTTCGCTTAAAAAAGCTCTAATTGCCAAAATTAATCTAGATGACGTGCTTCACGTATGTTGTTGAATTTCACGCACATTTTTTTTTTTTTTTTTTTTTTTTGGCAGAGACTGCTGCGCCGCGCGGCGCACAAGCCACCCCAACACAGAAACGACTGCTGCGCCGCACAGAAGTGACGTCATGCATTTTTCGGTTAGGCGCTTTGTTTGAATAGTCGGGAGTGTCTAGAGGTACGTCTAGACATAGCGATAAAAGCAGTTAAAATTACGTCCAAACGAAAAAGTGAACAAAAATGCCAGTTAGGTTTAGGTTGACAACAATACAAAAGCGGCCTCTTTGCCATCTCAAACTGATCGGCATTTGTGGCGCAGTTGGTTAAAGCAACACATCAACTGGTGAGGTCGGTGGTTCAAGTCCCATTGCAGTTATCGATACTTTCTCTTTTTTCTTGTTCACGCATGTATTGTTTTAACATTTGCGCCTCCTCATCAGCCCGACTTGCTATTGGTGGTGGTCCCGTCTACAGGCCCTTTATTATTGGATCTTCGATGACTCTTGCAGGATTTTGAAGTGTTTTGCGAATTAGGCGAGACGCAAAAAGACACCAAAAACTCGAATGCAGCTGGCTGTATTGGTTTCTTCGGCACAGGTGTCAGGAATGTTGATTTCCATGGTTTATCAAAGTTTTGATGGCAGAAAGGTGCACTGCAACGTAGTCTCGGGCAACTTTTTTTATGTCGCTCAGTGTACCATCACCTGATGAAGTAACCGGCAGGCCGCTTTCTTTCAAAATACTGACGTGTCACCGCAATGTTCTAGGCGATCAGCACTTAATAAACAATGCCCAAGGGCAAGTGCCGACGGCGTTAGCCCATCTAACTACAAAACAGCTTGTCTGCCTTGCTCAATAACACGCACGGCCTGTGACAGCACTGGAGCATTCACGTAGCAATGGATGAGAACGGCCGTACGTGTTCGCACTTGACAAAACAGACGGCAGTGCAGTAGCTCTGGCCTTCGGAGATCACAGGCTTCGTAAGAACATTACAATAAAATTGTTTCCATCCATCGTATGAATTAACACTTTGCCGACGCACTGGGGTTTCATGCATGTGCGTCCGGTCAGTCACACGTGAACCGTGCGAAAGCATTTATTTCATCGTCGACCTTGTACTTCGCGACAAGCAAAACTCGGCAGGAAGAACACTTTCACCTTTGACAACACCACGCTTGGCATTGCAATCTAGAAAACGCAGTACGTCCAACGACTGTAATCCGCACATCATACAGAGAAACTTTATGGCGCACACACTCAGATGAAGCTGCGGCGCGGTGGACGGCCGCGCTAGCTCCAACCATTAGGTTCAACTAAGCATCCAGCAATCACATGAAGCAGCGACGACACTCCAGCCCTCCTTGGGAGTGGCCTAGGCCATGGCCACGATTTCATCGGAGTTTCATCATCAGCGGCGCACGAGCCACCCCCACACAGAGACGGCTCCTGCGCCGCACAGAAGTGACGTCACAAAAATCGTCATGACATACGTAGTTTCCGATTTAGTGCGTTGTTCGAATTTACCGAATCGGAACATGACTCAGCTGCTCAGCAGACGCTCACTTGCTGCTGCGGCTGCTGGAGTACGGCTGGCTGCTGCTTCTGCGAGCTGTCTACAGGCCTTGTTCTGCTACATATTCGCAAGCCTCGAACATCATCTTCATCTAAGCTCAACCGCTCATTTTCACTGCTATTTTATATTTACTAACGTTGTTTATATCCATTCCAATACGTATTTTTGTGATTTTTCGCGTATAGGCTGATTTAGCAGTATCTGTACGCGGTCCTTTCTTTGGTCATCCGTGTTAACGTGCTTCGTATCTGTGTCGTAGTGCATTTGCGTAATTGACAGCCGTGTTTTAGATGAAATATTCACTTTCTTGTTTCTTTTTTTTCATGGTGTAATTCTGAATTGAAAGTTTGCGCAACATGACGCGTGTGTTAGTAGCTGGCAATTCGATGGTGAAATACGTGTACCAGTATTTCCCATCGCGCCGTGGCTTGTCTGTTAGCGTTGCCGCACACAAAGTAATAAGGATTGAGCACTTGCTCTCAATGATTGCTGACAAGCTGGCCAGTTTTGATGTTGTCATTGTACATGTTGGCACGAACAACACTGTTGACAGTGTCAACATGTGCATGGACAAATATCGCCAGCTCGCTCAGGGAATCATCGAAAGCAATCCCATGTTGCTTGTAGCTTTTTCTGCCATTCTTCCTCGGGGGCAGAATTGGTACCGCGAAGGTGAACAGTTGTCTGATGTTTGTCATTTGAATGACCACTACAGGAATGTGATTGCCGCACTCGCACAGCTATGCCTGGAGAGGGGCTTCACTATCTCGGATAGTCTTGTGGACAGCTGGCCTGGATTCCTGAGCAGGGATGGTGTCCACCCCAGCCGGCTTGGCAACAAGGTGCTGGCAGACTTCCTGCACCGGGAGGCCTGTGCCTTGTCTACCCATCTAGAGAGGAGACGCATCCAACAGTCCTACAAGGAGTCCAAGGCATCTGTATGGAGTGGGTGGGCTTGGCAGGAGCACTTTGCCATCAACTTGGAAGTCGATTTTCCTGCACTTGGTATGCATGCAGTTCAATATTCTCCAGCAGTAGGTGGACCTTCCGCTGCACGAGCTCCTGTCTGGAAAACCAGTAGTGCTCTCATGCAGAGACACGACACTGACCAACTGGCCAGTACCATTCATGGTATTGGCTTTACGCTCGTTGGGCGCGATCCTGGCACAGAGGCTGGTGACCCTATGGAAGCTGGGTGCACTGCAGCTGTGCGGTACAAGTATTGTGAGCCTGCTTTGACATCCAGAAGCAGGCCTGCCAGCCCTGGTGCCCAGGCGATTTGTGTAAACACTGGTGCCAACGCAACTGTGCCTCAATAACCCAGCAAATACACTGGTGGGGGTAGCAAAGTTTATTTAAATGCAACATTTGATAACTTTCCTTCTTTTAAGAAAAGCTTTGATGAGTGGTGCAGGGAGGGCAGGCATGTAGTCATGATAAATAAGAGTAATAAAAGTCCATTCACATCAGATGATAAGAACTTTGAGTATATTAGGATTAAATATAGCTGCATTCACAGTCGCACAATAAAGCCCAGGAGGATAGGAAAGCGACCAAAGCAAGCTTACAATGGTACTGGCTGTGAAATGACAGTATCGGTAAGCCTATGTAAATCGCCTACTCTGCACTACAAGATAACTAAACTACAAGCTAAGCATAACCATCCCACAGAATATTATGATTTGTATCCTCAGAAGAGGCTCCTGAATTATGGAGAAAAAGAGGAATTCTTTGACTTAGCTAAATGTAATATTGGCGCAAAGGATTTAAAAAACTTGGTCGAGCAGAAAACTGGTAAGAAATTAACTACAAAGGACAATAATAATTACAAACAACGATTTTCTATTCCTATCCGCAATGAGCAGGCTCATGGTGAAATGGTTTCAGAGATGATAGAGACTTTGCTAAATATAATCCAAACTGAGTTATTCACTATCAAATGAATCAAAATAATAACCTGCAATTCATACTTCTTCAAACAACGCACATGCGTGAGAATTTGCAAAAGTATCCAGAGATTCTATTTATTGATGAAACGTATAAAGTGAATATTGAGGGTTATATTCTTTACTCTATATTAGTTCAAGATGGTCGTGGCAGACCTGTGTGTTATGCCTTCTTACGAAATGAGATGACTGAAATTCTTGAGCCCATGTTCACAAAGTTTGTAGATTTCAACCCATTTGTTGTGTCTGCTTGCAAAGTAGTGATGATTGATAAAGATCTCAATGAACTGCGCATTTCAACCAGTATTCTTCCTAATTCTAACATACTTTTGTGTACATGGCATGTGTTGCATTGTTTTCAGCAAAAGGTTAATGAAAAAGCTAGACAGCAACGTGATCAGTTGCTTCCTCTCTGAAAAAGCTTAGTTTATACCCCACTGAGCAAGACTACTTCAATAAGCTTGCTGACCTCCAAGCTATGACTTGCACAGATTTCTTTTCTTACTATATACATAACTGGCACTTGTGTAAGGAAATGTGGGTACATGCATATCAGCAAGCCCTTCCTACATTTGATAATAATACTAATAATCGTATTGAGTGCCACAATCAAAAGATTAAAAATTATCTCTCTTCAAGCATGCATTTGGTTCAAGCAATAAAAGCATTGGTAGGTTGCACTGATAATGATTCTTTATCTCTACAGTTCTCTAAGCTTAAAGAAATGAAGCTGAACCTAAACATAAATGATTTCAATGACCCATTTCAGCTAGAATTGTCCCGTAATTGCACTTCTGAGGCTACAAGTAAAGTACTAGAGCAGTATGAGAAGTTTAAAAATGCAAGTTATCAAGTCACTTCCACTCCTAATTCTTATGTTGTAGTTTCACCAAGATCACAGTACAGTGTTTCATTGTGCTTGACTTCTTGCACATGTGCTTTTTATAACCAGTACACTCTGCCTTGCGCACATATTTTAGCAGTGCGTGACTTCACTAAGCAAGATCTTTTCGACAAGGCTTGCATACCAGACAGGTGGTGCAAGGATCATTTCCCGAGTGACAGCTGCACAACCACTAGTGCCACACCAGTGGTAACAAGCAGCATTCAGTCACCACCCTGTGTGAAGCTTGGCACAGCACAAGAGAAGTATACTTATGCTTATAGGTGTCTTTGCGAAATGTCAAAAACCGTGGCTAACGTAGTATCTAATTGTGGTGAGAAGGAGTTAATGAAAAAACTTTCGTCCTGCGAGGCTTTCTTCAGAAATTTAACCACATTTCCTCGTAACCGAACTTCAGCAGCCATAAAGGCTGCACCAGCTCAGTTAGCACAAACTACTGCCACAAGTTATCTTGGGCATTGTAACAGTACAAAACTTGTGGTACCTTTGCTTAAAGCAAGAAGGGGGCGGCCAAAAAAAGTGAGAGCTGTCAAGCGTAAATTTTTCCCAAATCAAGTAAAAAAAGATAGGCCTTGCGACGGTTAAAGTAGACATGCTAAATGTCTACAAACGGTATTCTCTTTCAGATGCAGATTTAAATGTTCTGGTACAGGGCACTTTTATATCAGCTAGAGTAATCAATGTCGCACAGTATTTAATTAAAAAAAATATCCTACTTGTGTCGGCTTTCAAGATGTCTTACTGGGCCGATGTTTACAATTCACTCAAATCAAAGGCCCTTTAGTTCAAATCTTGCATGTTCAGAACCCCAATCATTGGCTCACAGTAACAAATGTTGGTGCGGACAAAAACACAGTCTTCATATATGATTCAATTGATCAAGATACCCCTCGTGACGCTGTTAGGCAAATCTGTGATATTCTAAAATTACAATCGCCAACATTAACCATTAAAACAATGAAGGCACAAAACCAGTGCAACACACTTGACTGTGGCTTCTTTGCAATTGCTAACATGTATTATATAGCGTCAGGCAGAAAACCAGAAACTTTGAACCTTAACCAAGTTATGCTACGCAAACATTTGCTGCAATGCATACAGTATGGTATGATCGAAGACTTTCCCCTCATAAACTCCATGGCTGCTCGCGTACAGCCAAGAGATAGTATTTACAAGTTACATTGTGTCTGCCGGCAACCACAATATAGTGGGGTAGTATTGGACGTTACTTGTGCAGGTTGTTCAAGAGGATTTCACGGAGCTTGTCTCGGCTCTTTAGCAGCTAACTTGGACAAAAAAGTATTCGTGTGTTCTAAACCATGTTTGCTGGTTGCCAAGGAAAAGATACATTGTCCTAATTAATAATAGCATTCCATTTTGGTGTAGACGTATGGCAAAATTTCTAACCATTCTTCATGTCTCCTCCTCTAATTTTTGCTTTTTTTTAAAGGGCCACTCACCGGGTTGGACGATTTTGAGCTGACAAGTGCAATGCGTAAATCGGGAGTTTATGATCACGTCTGCCAAACATTGCAACTCTATGCGCCGCGGAAAGGGGTCAAATTTCAAGACGAATGCTTCTCCCCCTTTCTTTATGGGTCGCGCCCCTAGAAAAGAAGGGTATGATGTGCACGTATGAATCGCCCTACGTACACAGCAGTGCAGTGACGTTGGTCCTCTATGTAGGCGTCTGTGCTCTGACGCTGCCAACAGTGGCACGTGACATGGCGGAAATTATTTAGCGTGACATGCGTAATTAATGTAATTTGTTGCTTGAAGAGATTAATAAAACTTGGGATACATATTGAGACGCAATAGCAGAATGTGTTTGTCTTTTTCATTTTTTCCCCCGTGAATTGCAACAAGATGCCGAGCTAATCTGCTGGCGTTTCGCATGCGTTCGTGTCTCCGTGGTTACTGCATCAAGCAGACGCCTGTCCTGGAAAAGAAATTAATGGCATAATGGTCCTGCGCATTCGAGCACTCATTATGCTCATCTTTTCAACCGCGTCAAAGCCAGCGTTTTCAAACAATGTCGCAAAAACAGGCAGTAGACACAAAACAATGCTGGTCAACAAAACAACACCGCTCGCACGCTCGAGGGTTGGGCTTGTTTGAGCACGTCATGTGCACGTGACCTCTTGGTTGAATGCTGGACAGGGTAGAAAAGAGATTGGCTTGTGAAGGCTACACGGGGGAGTGGCAAGGGTTTTGAGCTTGCCTCCTTTCATCATTGTTTCCTGCTGTTAAAAAAAGAAGAAACTGTTTTCTCAGCTCGTAATGAACCGATTGAAAAACTTTTTGTGGTATAATTCTCTTCGTTAGATACACAACAACTTCCACAGTCTAACTAAAATTTGTTATCGGACCTGGTGAGTGGCCCTTTAAGGACTGACTTCAGGGATCGAAAGTATGAAGTTAGACACATTGGTAATGCATAACTGATCACATAGCACAAAAATTTGACCCAGGACAAGAGAAGAAACAAACACGAGTGCTCACTTCCAAGAACATTTATCTTGAAGAGCAAACACATATATACTCCTGAAATGTGAAAATCAGGCAAATAATTCAAGACGCCCACAACTGCCATGCACAAATATCTTACATTTTCAAAAAAGACAATTTGTTTTGACCAAGCCCGAGACAGAGTGCTGACGCAGTTCCGCTCTAGTCTACAAATCCTCTTTGCCTCGATAATTTCTCTTGTCATTTTATATGTTGTTTTTTCTTCCAGCAATAATGGTGTCGTGCAAAATCATTTTGCAGCCACACGTGCTGCAATGAACAGGCTTGTAACCTTAAGAATGGTCGCAATCGTTTCTTGGCCTTGAACCGCAGCAGGTGTGGCTCCAAACCACTTTAGTGTGACACCATTATCATTGGAAAAAAAAACTACAAGAGATTTTGTCGTGGCGAAAAAGATTTGTAGACTAGAGCTGAACTGCATCAGCACTTTCTCTCACTCTCTCTCGAGGGATTTGTCAAAACGAATTGCCTTTTCTGAGGATGTAAGGTTTTCATGCATGGCAGTTGTGGGATTTTTGAATGATTTGTCTGTTTTTTGCATTTCAAGAGTATATATGTTTGCTCTTCAAGATAAATCTTGTTGGAGGTGAGCACTCGTCTTTGTTCCTTCTCTTGTTCTGGGTAAA